GCCGTCACTAGGCTCCCATGGTGCCCCATGCCCTCAGTGTCCATATCCTGGGGGCCCTGTCGCTTGGCCGCCTCCTCTGGGATGGGAGGGATGTGTCCCCTTCTCAGCGTCTAGTGTGCAAATGAAAAGTGGGTGGAGAGGGGGTTTAGCACCCGGCCTCTCCACACCTTCAGTTACAGATGCCGCTGCTGGGTTGGTAATAAAGTTTTACTGGCACACAGCCACACTGTTCACATATTGTCTGCAGCAGAGTTGAGTCATGTTAGCAGAGATTATACAGCCCACAAAGCCAAAAATACTTACTCTCTGGTCCCGTATAGAGAAAGTTGGCTGACCCCTGCTCCGGGAAGCACAGGGAGCTGGAATGGCCCGGCGGCTGGGAGCACAGACCCTGGAGCCAGTCAGCCTGGCCCCTCGCTCGCTGTGTATCCTCAAGCGAGGTGCTCGACCTGTCTGAGCCTGTTGCCTCATCTGAGCCAACAGGGCGGTGACAGTGGCTGCAGGGGCGCTGGGAGGGGTTGGTGTGAAGCACGGGAGCCGAGCCTGGCACCTGGCAGGTGTTGCTCAGTCTGACATCCCGGCCCTCCCGGCTCCACTGGGTGTGGCAGGTGCTGGGCCGGCTCCCCTCAGCAGCTTGGTGTTCCGGACAGGGATTGGCCGGAGCCTTGTTTGCTGGGGAGCAAGACAGGTGTGGTAGTCCCCCTCCCACAGCACTGCTCGCCCTGCGGAGTCGTCCCTGGTTGTTCCTGCCTTGTTCCCCAGCCCCAGAGCTTCAGCAGGTCGGCCTTTGTAATGGAGCAGGTGGGAGGCTGGCCCCCAGCGCCAGGCTGCGGCCACGAGCAGGGCAGACACAGTGGCGGTGGCTGTGGCAAGATCAATACACCTCTGGGTCGTCCGCTCACACCATCCTGTTCAGACCCCGCCTTGCGGGGGCCTCTCAGGAGCAGCAGCCTGGGCACCGTGGGCCTGTTCCTGCCTCAGCACCTGTTCCGTTGCTGTTCCCACGGGGAAGCGACACCCCACACCACCTCCCGGCCGACAGCCCTCCATGTCGCCCCCACTTAGGTCATCACGGCTGCCTGCACAGCCCTCTCCTGTGGCCTGTCCCCCACTTCTCCAGGCCATGTCCGCACATGCCCGTGGTGTGACGGGTGGGGCTTCTGGGATTGGTTTATGCAGATGGGGCACAGACTTGAGCTCCTGCCTCCTCCGTGGCTCACCACCCATGGCTGGACGGAAGGGTGGCCTGAGAGGAAGGTGCCAGGCAGAAGGTTTCCAGGGGGACAGGGCTGTGCCTCTGTGTGTGTGCTGCGCCCTGTGTGTCCCAGGCCCTAAGCCCTTTCTCCCAGGAGAGAAGCCCCGTCCGGGATGCCCTCCCCTTGGAGAGCTGTGTGCACTGCCTCTGCTCCACCCGGTGACCCTGCGCGGTGGGTGAGCCCCGTATGGCTGTGTGCGGGGAGGGAGAGGCCCTGCTGGAGGGCCCATCCAGGGCAGGGACAGGGACAGAGAGCTGGCCCCTGGGGGCTGGAGGGCCAAGGGCAGCCATGGGGATGGGGCCAAGGAGGGGAGAAGCTGGTGAATAAGAGGTACAGGTCGCACAGGGCCTCAGCTGCCAATCTCAGAACCTGGACCACTGAGGCTTTTAAAAATGGGTAGGAACACAGTCCAGATTTTTTGGTTTTGGCTTGTCAAATATTTACCAAGCAGCTCCTGTGTGGCAGGCCTGGCCTGTGGGGTGGCAGAGCTGTGCCTCCACAGGGCCTGGCCACCGCTGTGATAGGCCAGGTCAGGCGTCCTCAGCCTTGGCTGCCCTGGCCCAAGCCTGCCCCACTGCGTGTGGCCAGGATTCCCTGGGCCACAGGGCCTGTGGTTGCGTGCCGACGCCAGGTGCAGGGGGTGCCTAGGGCAACTGGCTGGGTTGTCAGGCTGCTTCATAAACAGGACCTCCCTGGTCTGCTCGTTGTCACTGGCGCAGCTGACAGACCAGCTTTATCTCTTGCCACAGACGAGGTGTGGGCACAGCCACCATGCCAAGGTTTGGAGGCCCTTCCTTGGACCTGCTTTTAGCTGGACTTGAAAACATCTGGTCTTGGGTCTTGTGGGGGTGCAGCGTGGCTGTGAGTCTGTGGCAGCGGCCTGCCAGCATGCTGTGTCCTCCGTCTGTGGCCAGGAGCGTGGCTCCAGGCTCCCGAGGTTTGAGGCCGTCTGGGAGAACCTGAGCTGTGGCTCCAGGATCCCTGGCCCAGTGCTCAGACTCCCCAAGGAGAGCAAAGCAGCCAGTGATCACCCAGGGCCCCTCATTCCTACGTTCACCCATCAGGAACAGTTGTCTCTTCTCTGCTGAGATACAGTTCACAGAATATAAAACAAGTCATTCTAAAGCATACAGTTCAGTGGCATTTAGTATACTCATGGTATCATGTAGCCACCACCTTTATCTTGTTCCAGAACATTCCCATCACCCCCAAAAGGAGACCCCATCCCCAGGAGCACTCTCTCCCCATTTTGCCTCCTCCAGCCTCTGAAAACCATTTTTTGGCGACCTTGGTTAAACATGGATGAACCAGTTCTGGACATTTCATATAAACAGAATCACGTATACGTGACCTTTCATGCCTGGCTTCTTTTACTTTGAAGATTCATCTGTGTTGGAGCGTGTGGTGTGTCAGGACTTCATTCCCTTGAACAGATGGGTGGTTTTTCTGTTGTACGGACTTTCCACATTTTGTTTGTCCACCCGTCAGCTGAGGGACATCTGAGCTGTTTGTACGTTTTTGGCTCCGGTGAATGGTACTCCTTTGAATATTTGCGTACAGGTAGTTGTTTGAATCCTGCTTTCAGTCCTGGGCATCTACCTAGGAGTGGGATTGCTGAATCAAACGGTTACCCTACACTTAGCTTTTTGAAGACCCAACAAACTGTTTTCCACCACAGCTGCACCATTTTACGGTCCCACCTGCAGGGTGCAAGGGTTCCACTTTCTCCACATCCTCACCAGCACTTGTTATTTCCCCGCTTTTTTGTTTTAAATTATAACCATCCTAGTGGGCATGAAGTTGTATTTCACTGTGGTTTTGATTTGCATTTCCCTGCTGACTAATGGGATTGAGCATCTTTTCATGTGCTTGCGGGCCAGTTATGTATCGTCTTTGGAGAAATGTCTATTCAAGCCCTTTGCCCATTTTTGAACTGGGTTGTGCATCCTTTTGTCACTGAGCTAAAATAATCATTTTATTGATGTATGCTGGACACTAGGTCGTTCTCCAGTGTATGATTTGCAAATATTTTCTCCCATTCTGTAGGTTGTCTTTTCACTCTTCCTTTTTTCTTCTTCTTTTTTTTTTATTCCCAGCTATGACTCGGGGTTAAAAAGTTCGGATTTTACTCTTCACAGTGATTCCAGGTGAAGAAATTCATGCATCATCACTATCACTTTCTTGATAGTGTTCTTTGATGCACGTAAGTTTTTAATTTTGATGAACTCCAATTTATCTGGTTTTTCTGATACTCTTGCTTTTAGTGTCATACCTAGAAGTTCATTGCCATATCCAAGGTCATGAAGATTTACCCCTGTGTTTTCTTCTAGGAGTTTTATAGTTTTAGCTCTAACATTTAGATGATTGATCTGAGTCAGATTTTGCATACGGTGCGAGGCTGGAGGGTCCAACTTCAGTCTCTTGCTTCTGGATATCCAGTGTTTTTGGCACCCTTGCTGAAAGCCAGTTGGCTATAAACATAAGCGTTTATTTTGACTCTAATTCTACTCCATCAGTCTCTATGTCACCTCTTTTGCCAGCACTATCCTCTTTTGGTTACTGAAGCACTGTAGTACATTTTGAAATTGAGGAGTGTGAGTCTTCCAACTTTGTTCTTTTTCAAGATTGTTTTGCCTGTGACCAGTACTCGTGCTTCTCTCTGTACATATATTCTGCTGTGGGTTATTGGAGGACCTGCTTGAAAGCAAGTTGCAGCCATCCCGAGAATTCACTCTAAATACTTCCACATGATGTTAGAAGGATAAGGGCATTTTTCTACAGAACCATCACGCTCTGGTCACACCCACGTCATTTAAAGTCACTGCACCCACAGCCCGCACTCAGGCTTCCTTATCTGTCCTTTATAGCTTGTGAAAAGGTTTTTACTAGGCTCCAGTCCAGGGTTGCCCTTGATCCTTGATGGACATGTTGCTTTAGTCTCCCTGCCTTTGGAATAGTCCCCAGCAGTTTTCATCTTAGTCCTGACACTGACCATTCTGGGGAGACCAGGCAGGTTGTCTTGCGTTCTGCCCCGTGGTCGGGCACGATCGTAAGGGGACCCGACAGACATTTTCGCCAAGAACACGACACAGACACTGTGTCTGCCCCACTGCACCGCAGCCAGGACCATGATCTCGTTATTGGTTTGTCCTTTTCTCGATGATGCTGTCACCCTTGGGCACACCGCATGCTTTTGAATGAATGACTCTTAACAGTAATCGTGGTGGGCACATGGGTGCAGTGCTTCTGTGCATGCTGGGCCTCCCCTGCCATCAGCCCCATTCAATAGATAAGAAAACCGAGCCTCAGTGACTTGCCCGTGGGACGCACCAAGCGATGTGGGTGGAGCACGATCCCCGGCTGTTTGGCTCCAGGGGCCACACTCATAGTGGCTGTGCCGTCAGAATACGAGGACAGGGCTCTGCCCAAGGCAGTAGAGGACCTCTGGGAACTCTTTCCCGAACCCTCCAGCCCTGCTCAGCTCTGGAGGCCCTGTGACACAGGGCTGGCAAATGGGTGCCCAGTGCCCTCAGCTGGGCCCAGGGCATCCCTCCAGGGTCCCATGAGCCCCTGACCCTATCATGGAGGCACTCCTGAGGGAAGTCCTGGCAGAGGTGGACACTGAGCTCCTTGGGGACAAAGGCTGTGTGTCCTGCATCCCTGCTGCCTGTGGGTTGTCCCCGCATCCTCAGCCTGGGCTGGCCTGGGACCTGCCAGCTCACAGCCCCCGCTCTGCTCTTGCAGATGAAGATGTGTGTGTGTTTAAATGCTCGGTGTCCCGAGAGACGGAGTGCAGCCGTGTGGGCAAGCAGTCCTTCATCATCACCCTGGGCTGCAACAGCGTCCTCATCCAGTTCGCCACGCCAAACGGTATGTGTCCCTCCGCCCCATGGTGCCCAGCCTGTGGCACGGGCTCTCCAGCCAAGGCCGCGGGGGCATGGAGCCTCATTCAGTCACAGCACCCCCATCTGCCATTGCAAACCATGTTCCCACGGAAATCTGTCCGTGGTGAGAGGACTTCCTTCCTGCCTGGGACACTCTGCCCCAGACCCTCCGGGGCCAACCCCTTTGAGGCATCCTAGGATCGGCTCATGTGTCCCCTCTTCTGCGAGGCCTGTCCTGACTGTGTGGCTGCGCTGCGTCCCTCCTGAAGGAGTCTGTCAGGTGGTCTGGGCCCTGGCCTTCCCAACAGCAGAGGACGCAGGCAAGGCGAGCGCCCGAGGCTGCCAGAGATCCCCTTCTGAGCGCAGAGAGGAGCCATGGGTGGGCTCTGAGCAGACCCGTCTGGGGACACAAGTAGTCACACAAGGAGGGGTCATGGACACCCAGGCTGTGCTGATGGTGGCTTCAGGGTCGGGGACAGCAGTGGAGGTGGCAGGGTGCCCGGGGCTTAAGTCCTCTTGAAGGCGCAGCGAGCGACAGGCGTGGGCACTGCGGAGCAGAAGCCAGCGAGCCTGGGGCAGATGCAGGGCTGGATCAGCCGAACCAGAGCAGGGGAGGCCAGTGGCTCCTGGCAGCCCTCCTGCCTGACTCAGCCCCCGGCGGGGGAGTGACCCCAGGGGTCTGCTGCGCGGAGGATGAGGCGGGTGGGGTGAAGCAGCCAGGCACCGACCACCCCCCACAGAAGGTGCTCTGCTGCCCCACTCCACTTGCTTCCCTACGGACATTAACCCAAATTCATTGTAAAAAAGTGGAAGGACCAGCGGCGTGACCATTCAGAGTTGGTGTTGTAAAATCCCTCGTCTTTTTCTACTCTATGAATATATATACTTGACTTTTTTCCCTTTCAACCCCATCAGTTTTGAAAATTGCAGCAAAGCAGATGTAACGTTGTGACTAAACCCTTTTTGAGCGTCCAGTTCAGTGGCACCAAGTGCGCTCGTACCGCTGTGCAGCCGGCGCCGCTGTCCATCTCCAGAACCCTTAGATGGTCCTAAACTGTATACAGTTGACCATTGAACACACAAGGGTTAAGGGCACCAACCCTCCGCACAGCTGGAGATCTGCACATAACCTGACTCCCCAAAAACTTAACCTACTACTAGTCCACCGTTGCCTGGAAGCCTTACCGATAACGTAAAACAGTCAATTAACACATTTTGTGTGTTCTATGTATTATATGCTATATTTTTTTACAATAAAGTAAGCTAAAGAAAATGGTTTTCCAAATTGTCATAAACCAAAAAAGTTCCCAATATATTTATTGAAAAAAGTCCATGCATAAGTGGACCTGTGCAGTTCAGACTCATGTCGTGCAAGGGTCAGCTGTATTTTAATTTTTAAAGATGGCTTTGTAAGTTCTGTTCTGCTTTATTTTTAACTGTTAAAATATGCGTGACATAAAATTGCGTATCTTATCCATTTCTGAGTATACAGTTCAGAGGTGTTACATATGTTTATGTTTTGTTCAGCCACCTCCATTATCCACCCCATGCAGACACTGCCGGGAGCTGCCGATGGGCTTGTGTTATTTGTTGGGGTGACTCCCAGAGGGTGGGTGTCTGGGTCAGCAGGCATGCTGCGTAGACCGTTCATGGCCCAAGCCCTCCAAGGCCTGAAGGGCAGGACACCACATGCCTCAGACTGTGGGACACCCCCTTTTGTGTCAGTCGCCCAGTGGCAGACTTGGCTGTCCCGCTTCTTTTCCTTAAATATCAACATTGTCTTTGGAAAAAAGAAATTGCCAAGCATACATGCTCCAGGTGGAGAAGTTAGGGTGGGCACCTAGCTGGAAACCCCCCCATCTCTACCCCTGTCATGGGCACGTGTGACCCAGCCGCCCCCTTCCAGATTTCTGTTCCTTCTACAACATCCTGAAAACCTGCCGGGGCCATACCCTGGAGCGGTCGGTGTTCAGCGAGCGCACCGAGGAGTCCTCCGCTGTGCAGTATTTCCAGGTGGGTGCGTGTCGCCCTAGCCCAGCTGCTGTCCTGGTGGCCTCTGGGAGGCTGTGCAGCAGAGGGCAGGGCCCCCGGGCTCCAGTCCTGGCTCTGCCCCTTACGAGCCACATCACCCTGGGCAGGTTCCTCCGCTTGCTGGGCCTCAGTTTCCTCATCTGTGAAACAGATGCCAGGACCCACCTAGGAGGGTTGCTGGAAGGAGTTGAGTGCAGGTGAAGGTCAGACACGTGGGCATTTGTGTAGTGATAGCACAGTTGTCATGTACCAAGCTCACCCCGCATGCCAGGCATTGGCCTAAACAGTTTTACTCGCACGGTAAACGGAGCACTTGGCCCTCCCAGCAACTCTAGGAGGTAAGTGCTATTATTATCCCCATTTTACAGATGAGAAAACTGAGGCTCAGAGAGGTTAAGTGACTTGCTCCAAGTCACACAGCTCTTATGCAACAGAGCCAAGATTGGAAGCCAGGTCTGCCTGATGCCAAAGCCTGTGCCCTTGCCCAGGTGCCATGCTGCCTCCTGACCACCCACTGTCTTACAGAGAGACCCCACAGCACCTCATCTGCCTGGCACTCTGAGTTCTAGGGTTCTGTCTGAGCTGCTCTGCTTCATTGGGGACCCTAAGACACTCAGGTGGCCCCTGATCCCAGAATCCTGCCTGTGGCAAATCTTGAGTTCTCCTGGGTGGCTTCCAGGTCCCAACAGCAGCCAGCTGTGTCCTTTGGCCATGGTGGCAGTGGCAGTGACCTGCCTAGGGGCTGCCTCTAGCTTCTCACTCTGGAAGCAGAGTGGCAGCTGCCGGCGGGATCCAGACAGCAGAGAGGCGCAGTCTCCCACGGGAGGTCGGTGCCCACCGCCGCCCCTCCCCATGTTGCAGGGCTGGCCAGGGACTCGGCCGTCCGTGCAATCACGTGCCCTGTGCTATAGGCATGTCTCTGTTCCAGTTTTATGGCTACCTGTCCCAGCAGCAAAATATGATGCAGGACTATGTGCGGACAGGCACGTACCAGCGCGCCATCTTGCAGAACCACACAGACTTCAAGGACAAGGTGAGCGGCGGCCACGCCCTCCAGCTGGACGTCCACCCACCCCTCTCTCCCCCGGGGTCAAGCCACCTCCCTACTTCACAGTTGTCTCTGTTTTCTCTTTGCTCATTGATGTTTAGCTAAATTTTTTTGGACTATGGAAGGAGAATCTACGTTTCTTTTTTTTTTTTAAATACAGAAAGCTCCATGAATTTGCTTGTCATCCTTGGGCAGAGGCATGCTAGTCTTTGTAGTGTTCCAATTTTAGTCCATGTGCTGCCCAAGCAAGCACCAAAATCTACGTTTTGCATAAGCCCACATGTATAATACTGACAAGAGAGGCCTCCGGCGTCTCCCTCCAAAAGAGCACCACCAACAAGAATGGCCTCGTTTTCCCACCTCTGATGTGCATATCCACATATATATACACCGTTAGGAGGTCTTTCATTCATTTATTTGTTATTTTTTACAAAATAGGATTGTGTTCTATCCTTCCTGCAGAAATACCCCTGCCCAGTGGTGTGTCTGCGGACAATACCATTAAGTCCCTTGAATCGCTGTGATCTAAGTGCACCTGTGCTCCTCCTGCCTGCAGTGTGGCTGGCCAGTCAGCCCTGAGTGTCAGTGGCCATACTGCAGGGCTCAGAGGTGTCACTCCCGAAGGAGCTGCAGGCACACTGTGCTACCCTGGTGTCCACCATGCCGTGTAGACTGTTCATGGCCCAAGCCCTGCCTTCTTGAATCTGGTGGAGAGTGTGCAATGGTCCTAGCGTCCTACCTACAGAAATCCCCTCACGGTGCCTCCAGTCCCACCCGGGGCTCCCCAGGCGGCTCTCAGAAACCAGCCGTGAGGGCCGCAGGCCCGTGTCAAGGGGCAGCCGCTGCAGGGCGCTCAGCACGCTCTGGCGTGTTCGTGGTCACCGCACCAGTGCCTTGTTCTCCAGGCTCCCTCTTCCTCCAGATTGTTCTTGACGTCGGCTGTGGCTCTGGGATCCTGTCGTTTTTCGCTGCCCAAGCTGGAGCAAGGAAGATCTATGCGGTGGAGGCCAGCACCATGGCCCAGCATGCCGAGGTGAGCGGCCTGCTGGGACCCCAGCCGTCCTCGCCCTGTCCTTCAGCTCTGCACCTGTGCCAGCCTGGGGAAGCCACCCCACCCCGGGCCCCCAGGAGGCCTGGCCCTCGGATCCAGGGGAGCCCAGTGTTTCTCCATTTTGGTCTCTTGTCCCCAGAACCCAGAAGTTGGGGGAGGAAGAGACTCACTGGGCCTGAGGTGGTGTCTTGGGCATGACTGGCAGTCGCCCGCTGGGTTCAGGGGGCAGACTGTTCAGTCACACAGGTCAGGGAAGGGTCTCGGCCCTGGAAAGGCAGCCGCCTCTCCAAGCCCCACTCCCCATGTCATGTGGTGTGGCTAACAGCAGGATTCTCTTTCATTGATGTTGTCATCTAACCTTTTCCTTCTTTTACACTGAAACTTCATTCACAAGGTTCAAACCCAAAAGCTACAAGGGGTAAATAGCACAATGCTGCCCTTCCCCTCCCAGGAGATACACACATAGACACACACACACGCTCGCACGCACACACACACCCCGCCCTGCGGCCCCACACCCACTGGCACTCCATCCACCGCGCGGTCTCACACTGCGGCAGCACGCACTGCTGTTGATGTCTGCTCCCTTCACGGCATGTCTGGGACTGTCGTTCCATAAAGAGCTGTCTCACCTCTAACGAGTGGCCATGGAGCCTCCCCACTGTTTGTTCAGGTGCAGTTGGACTGTTGGCACCTTTCAGGCAGCTTCTCAGTCTGCTGTTTTCTCCGGTGTGCGGTGGCAGCGCAGGATGTGTTCCTGGTGCTGGAGAGGCAGGGTTGGAGCATGTGTCTCAGTTCAGCACGGTGGCTGCTTGTCCCTGTCTGCTCCCCTCGCAGTTGTCCCTGCGGGGTGGAGGTGACGCCGGCGACCTGGGAGCTGCAGCAGGGAGGGTGGAGGGGAAGCTGGCAGGAGGCAAGGAGCTTGGCCCTCCACAGGAGGGGTCAGCCGCCGGGTCCCGGGGCGGGGGGTGCAGGACCCTGTGACCCCTGCTGCCTGCCTGCAGGTGTTGGTGAAGAGCAACAACCTCACCGAGCGCATCGTGGTCGTCCCTGGGAAGGTGGAGGAGGTCTCGCTCCCTGAGCAGGTGGACATCATCATCTCCGAGCCCATGGGCTACATGCTGTTCAACGAGCGCATGCTAGAGAGCTACCTCCATGCCAAGAAGTACCTGCGGCCTGGCGGTGAGCTGCCTGCCCCACCGGCTGTGGCTTTGGGAGCCCCGGGTCCCCAGAGAGACCAGACCTCCACCTGCCCAGCTCCCCCCAGCCCCGGGGAGCCTCTGGACCGCCTCTGCCACCTGCTGCCCTAGAGGCAGGGGCCACGTTTGGCGGGGCAGGGGGTCATGGTAGGCACAGGTGTGGCGTTTTCCCCAGGACAGACGTGCCATCACCACTGCCATGGTCGACCTTGCCTCGACCTGCCGCACCCCCATGCCCCTCCAGGCCAGGGAGCAGAGTGTGTGCTCCGTGAGAGCGCGGGTGGGCATTCCTGTGTGTCGGGGGCAGCTGCCTGGCGTGCCCACCTCGGGCCTCCTGTCCATGCTCTCGGGTCACTGGGGAGCTGTGTACATCTGCCTGTCTGTGTCCCTGGGATCTGAGAATGGCTCTGAACATCTGCAGCCTCCGTTTCTCTGCTCAGTTTTGGGGAGGTGTCTATCTGCCTCTGTATAGCAAGGGGTTGTGCGTGTGGCCCAGGAGGACCCTGGCCAGGGTCACAGCCATGAGACAGAGCTGGGGGGTCAGCAGACTGGTGGGGGCCCCCTGTGGGGGGCAGGGATGGGCTCGTCTGGGGGAGCACCCACTTCAAGCCCGTGGCCTTCCTGGGTCTGGGCTGCAGGGACCTGCCTCTGCCCCGCTCCTGAGGTGGGAGGTGGCAGCCACTCCCCATAATAGCTATGTCCTGCATCCCGGGTGTGAGTGTGGGGCTTGTCCTTGACCCGCTGTCCTCCCATTCCTGCCTGAAGGTGGGCTCAGCCCACTGGTGGTGGCGGCCCCAGCAGGCGGGCTTCTCTTAGAGAACGCGGAACAGATGATGGGAGTCAGGCTCTGGTGGGCGGTCCCCTGCCCTGGCCTGTGTGGATGGCTTTGTTCCACCTCAGGAGGCTCTTCAGGGGGATTACAGGGAACCGTCTCCCCAGCCACACACTTTACACGCCTTTGGGGTAGGGGAACTTACCCGTGGTGCTCCAGGGACTCTAAGGCAGAGGTCAGCATCTCCCTGCTCCTGCCCCAGTGGCTGCAGCGGAGCCTTCCAGAAGGCTGGGAGAGAAGGCAGATGCCTGCTAGTGCCTTAGGGCCCCCCTTCTCTCGCAGAGGAGGGAGGAAGGCCCACATCTGGAGGCCAGGTGACCGGGGCCCCGACTACCCGAGGTAGGTGGGGCTCCTGAGCACTGGCTCATGAGTCACACAGATGGAGGACCTGGCCCTCTTCCCATTTCAGACCATACACCGCAGCAGGGCAGCCAAGCTGCCCACCCTGCTGGCCAGAGCCTGGGCAGTCCCTGTGGGCCTCAGCTGAGGCCCTGACGGCATAGCCTGGGGCTCCCTCAGTCTGTCCGGAGCACTTTGCTTTGCTTTCCTGGCTGCACGTTTGTCCGTGGACAGCAGCACCTAAGAGGCACCCCCTGGCTCTCAGAGCAGGGTCCCCGGGCACCGTTCGCTTACCCCAAGGTTCTGGCAGGTGCCTTCCTGCTCCCAGCCCTACTAATGGGACCTAAGGACATGGCTGGCTGACCAGGTTTAGTGAGATGGTGTACATCCAGTGCTTTCCTGGCCACTGGCAGAGAAGGCGCTGAGCACCTCAGGGTCACACAAACCCACGAATGAGTGAAGGAAAGGCCGGGAAGGCCCAGGGTTGAGGGTCCTGGGGCCCTTTGGAGGTTCTGCCAGGCCCTGCGGGAAGCCCCACCCTGATGCCAGCACCCCTCCCTGCCCCCCACTCCCAGGAAACATGTTCCCCACCATTGGTGACGTCCACCTCGCACCCTTCACGGATGAACAGCTCTACATGGAGCAGTTCACCAAGGCCAACTTCTGGTGAGTGCTCCGGGTGCCCTGCCATCTCAGGGCTGGCCCTGCTGCTCTTTGCCCTCATCCTCAGTAGGACCTGAAAGACCGGCCGGGAGAGAAGGCAGGCTGCCCCACCTGCCTCGGCTACTGGTGACCATGCTGTGCGGGGTGGGGGCTTTCTGCAGGTACCAGCCGTCCTTCCACGGAGTGGACCTGTCGGCCCTCCGAGGCGCTGCAGTGGACGAGTATTTCCGGCAGCCTGTGGTGGTGAGTGGGGCCACCAGGGTATTATGTGGTTAGCACTGGGCACGGCCCTCCTCTGGGGGACTGGGAGGGGGCCCTGGACTTTGCAAGCGGTACAGCCCTAAGGAAGCCATGAGCCCTCTCTGATCTTTCTTCTTCCCCTGCACAGAGCTTTCATGCGGGAATTCTGGAAATAAAGTGGCATTACAGGGAGAGTGCTTTTAGCACGTAGTGAAGATGGGACACATGCAGACTTAGTAGGTGATTTGATCCTTGGTCAACTGATGTGGACTGATTTTAATTCTTGAGATTTTTGAACTGATAGATATACCCAAAGTTCAAAAATAAAAAAGTCTAAAACCAAAAAGCCTCCCGACTTTTGACCCCAGTTCTTCCTGTAGGCAAACAGTATTTCTTGTCTATAGTAATCACTTGTCGAGTATAGTGTTGTTTCGTCAATCAGACTACACTCGCTTATCATGTTGGTCAAACCTTCTCTAGCTTTACTGATTTTTTGATCTGCTTTTCCTATATATGTTACTGATTACAGATTTATTTCGGAACATTTAGTTCTGGTCATTTTTGTCTTGTTTTTGACACCGTGTCGCTAGGCACACCGGGTTTGGGGTTATGTCATCCTGTTGGATCCTTTTGTTGTTACAAAAAGTGTCTCTTTTTCTCGTCATACTTCTTGCCTTACAATCTATTTTTTTTCCTGTACTCCAGCTTCTTTTGGTTCGTCTTCGTACAGTATGTTTGTCCATCCTTGTTCTTGGGACCTTCTTGTTTCCTTATCAGTTAAGGTTTGTCTAACGTACACAGCACATTTTGGGGTTTTGATTTTTAACCAGGTCGACATCTTTTTCTTTTAATTACTTAGGCCATTGATGTAATTACTGGTCTTTACAGGTATAAGTCAGTCATCTCACTATTTTTTATTTATCCTGATTGTTGTTTCTTTCGAACTATTTTCTTTTAATTTACCTTCTGATGTCTTTCACTAGTTTTCAGGCGTGGGCAGCATCTCCGTAAACACTGTCTCTGTCTCCTTCCGGGCCTGAGCACGTGTGTAACAGACCTTCGCCCTGTGTCCCAGATGGTCCTTACATTCTTCTCTGTATTTTCCATCCTTTTTTCTTGCTTCATCTTCATATTTTCTACTGACCGATCTTCCAGTTCTGATTCTTTTTGCTATGTCTGATCTGATTTTCTAATTCTTAATTTCAGTTCTAGGACTTCATTTTGCTGCTGCTTATTTCAGTTCTCTGTGAATTTCTCCATTTTTTCACCTTTTGTCTCGAACATACAACTCTCTGATCACTTTTAGTATCAGGATAAGTGGTAAGTGTATTTCTGCTGTTTATTCTCTTGATTTTTCATTCTTGTTTTTTTGGGCCTGCCTCTTGGTGCACCTGGTCGCTGAATACCAGAATGAAAGATCATTCAGAGGCTCTGAATGCTGTTTTTCTTCTGAAGGACGTGTTTTCTTCGGGCAGTTAGCCATGTGGATAGATCACCTTGGTCCTCTTAGACATCTGATATTTGGAGGGTGCTTTTCAGACTTTTCTCACTGGTCTACTTCCTAGCTTCCCTGTAGAGCAGTGGTTTTCTAACATTTGGGTCTCAGGTCCCCTCTTCGTTCTTAAAAATGGAGGATCCCAAAGAGGTTTTGTTAACGTGTGTTATCTATTGATGTACCCTATCTCATTGTATTAAAAACTAAGCCCAAGAAATTTAAAAACATCAAATTAATTTAAAAACAACAGTAAACCATTACATGTTAACATAAACAGTGTTTTTAAGGAAAAAACTATTTTCTAAAACTTTTCAGTGAGAATAGTGGCATTTTAAACTTTCAAATTTCTTTAATGTCTGGCTTAATAGAAGACAGTTGGATTCTGCGTTTGCGCACAATTTGTTGTGGCATCACAGGTGAGTGAATGAATGAGAAGGGCAGACATCTTAGTATCAGGAAGTTTTGACCTTGAGGGTGCTCCCGGGAGGGGCCACGCTTTGAAGAACTGCTGCATTAGGGCGTGGCCTTGGGGGGCTCAGGCCAGGCCAGGGGGTTCACAGGGCCCCTCTTCTAGCCATGCAGCACCCACATGCTGCTGATCATTCCTTAGCTTCTCAGTGTCTGAGAAGCAGCTTTCTGCTTGCTTGCTTTGCCTCTAAGCCACACCCTGAGCGCAGGAATTGGCAAATGCCTCCAAGTGAAGTTGCAAGCAGATGGCCACCTCATGTTTCCCCATTCCCCTTTCCTTACGCGCGTTGGCCTCTGAGTTCTAGCTGCCTTGGTAACCCTGAGCCTCCGCTTTGCTTTCCCCACCCCGGGAGGCTGCTGAGAGGTCCCACCCCGAGGGGAAGGTGCAGGCTGAAGGCATCGCCATTCTGTATAGGATCTTGGCCCCAAAGCAGTGGCTGCCGTGGCTACTCCCCAGTGCTTTCGAACAACGGGGCTATTTTTCTCCCTTGTATTTTATTCCACTTGTGTAGTTGACTGCAGGAGTGTTAGTCTGATATAAAATCTCCATCACAGCCGGGAGTGGACATCAGCACAGTTCTCCAAGTTGCTTTTTTTGTGAAAGTGCTTAACAGTTGATCGCAGAGATGTTTCCTTATCTGTCCATGAAGAGCCTCTTCGTTCTTCCTCGCATACACGCAGTCTTCTGTGGATGGGCCATCAGGGGCTTAATGAGATGGTTTCCAGCGTGTCGCCACTCTAGCCAGTCTGTAGTTACGCATGGAAGTTTGTACATGTGCACATGTATCCGTACGGTCAACTCCCAGGGTGCTGAAACTGCCATGTGCTCAGCATGAATGTTTTTCATTACGAGAACAGTCACCTAACTGCCCTCCATGGTCTTGTACCCCTTCGTCCTACCCCAGCGCGCCTGAGAAGGGCAAACTGGTTTCAGCCAAATGGCCTAGAGGCCTTGGCAGGGCCCGGGGAGAGGGGGAAGGCTACCCCCTTCCTTGCTGGCCCCTGCACCCAAACCAAGTCAAGTTTGTGGTCTCTTCCAGGACACATTTGACATCCGGATCCTGATGGCCAAGTCTGTCAAGTACACAGTGAACTTCCTAGAAGCCAAAGAAGGAGATTTGCACAGGTACTGGCCCCCATGCCCCTCCGCTGCCGGCCCCCTCCAGCACTCTGCCACCCCAGGCCAGGTTGGGCCCCAGGACTCTGCGCCTGGCTACCCGTCTCACCTGGCAATCCCTGTTCCACTTCCTCAGCAATCCTTGCCCTTTGCCTTCCAGGATAGAAATCCCATTCAAATTCCACATGCTGCATTCGGGGCTAGTTCACGGCCTGGCTTTCTGGTTTGATGTCGCTTTCATCGGCTCCATGTGAGTGCAGCATGGCATGCTGTCCCCGCCCCAGGGACTTCCCTGCAGTTGTGTCCCCAGGCCTGGCTCAGATGGCATGCTAGGGGCTGGGAGGGCAGGACAGGACCCCTCCAGGTTTGGCTGTCCCTCCCAAAAGGCTGTGAGAGCTCACCTACAACACAGATGGGGGCGGGGCGGGGGGCGGGGTGTGGGTGCCCAATGGCTGTGGATTCTGTGTGTGTGCAGTGCATGCACGCCTCAGACCATCTCAGCTCCAGGGCATCCATCTGGGGGGGGCGACACATGCCGGGGAAGAGTTCCAGAGGACAAGGCGCTGGCTCCAGCCCAGTCAAGTGAATGCCTGTCTCTGCTTGGCAGAATGACTGTATGGCTCTCCACGGCCCCAACGGAGCCCCTGACCCACTGGTACCAGGTCCGGTGTCTGTTCCAGTCACCACTGTTTGCCAAGGCTGGGGACACGCTCTCAGGGACATGTCTGCTGATTGCCAACAAAAGGTGGGAGCTGTGCCCAGGGTTGGGGGAGGCAGGGGACAGTCCACAGCCGGCTCACGGCCACCCTCCCCTGCCCACTCTGCAGACAGAGCTATGACATCAGTATTGTGGCCCAGGTCGACCAGACGGGCTCCAAATCCAGTAACCTCCTGGACCTGAAAAACCCCTTCTTCAGGTAGGATGGGCCCTTGCCCCGGGGACGGGAGGGAAAGCTCCTGGCCCACAGCCCTGCCCAATGGGTCCGTCTCTGCTGCAGATACACGGGCACGACCCCCTCTCCACCCCCGGGCTCCCACTACACATCCCCCTCGGAAAACATGTGGAACACGGGCAGCACCTACAACCTCAGCAGTGGGATGGCCGTGGCTGGTGAGCGGGCCCCCAGGGCGGGCGGGCGGCAGGGCCGCTTCCTGGTCACGCCTGCCAGCACCCCTGGCACAGCCGGTGGCTGCGGCCCCTCCTGCCCTGCACAGGATGCTGCTCCCCAGCCCTGACGTCCCCCTCTCGGCACAGGGATGCCGACGGCCTATGACCTGAGCAGTGTTATTGCCGGCGGCTCCAGCGTGGGTCACAACAACCTGATCCCGCTAGGTGAGCGTCTCGGGTCTGGGAGCGGTGGGGGGCAGCACCCAGGCCAGCCCTGGGGTTTGGGCCTTCTGCGCCCGGTTGCGGGCATCACCTTTGCTTCTTCTGGGCGCTCCTGGCTGAGGCCCTCCGTTCCGTTCCTCTCTGCCTCGCTCTGCCGCCGCCGGGCCTGCTTCCTGAAACCACTGGGATGAGAAAGTGGGCCCGGCAGGCCGGGGGCGGTGACGCCGTCTCCCTTCCTTCCTTCCTCCCTCTTGCTGCGCAGCCAACACGGGGATTGTCAATCACACCCACTCCCGGATGGGCTCCATAATGAGCACGGGGATTGTCCAAGGTAACGGTGGGCGGCGGGGCCCCGCGGCATGAGTGCTGCCCTCCGGCCGCCGCCTGCCCTCTCGCCTGCTGTCTCTCTCTCTGACTGCTGGGGTCTGGGCGGGCGAGGGGGCAGGGCTGGCCCCTTAGTGCCCACCCCCTGCCCCACAGGGTCCTCAGGCGCCCAGGGCAGCAGTGGCGGCGGCTCCAGTGCCCACTACGCGGTCAACAGCCAGTTCACCATGGGCGGCCCCGCCATCTCCATGGCCTCCCCCATGTCCATCCCGACCAACACCATGCACTACGGGAGCTAGGCCCCTCCGGCGTGGAACGGACTGACAGCACCAGGAAACCAAATGAAGACCCTGCCCGCCCCACCCCTCCGCCCGGGTGGCTCTCACCCTGTACTGGAGGAGCCCCGACACCTGGGCACAGCCCTCTTTGCTATGGGAACTTGGACACTTTTTTACACCACGTTGCCGCCGCTGCCCCCACCCCACTGCCCACCCACCTCTTGGCCCTGAGCGCGTGTCGCTGCCATATTTTACATGAGATCATATTGTGGGAGCCATTTCCCCTCCTGTCCCCTCCACCCTGACCTGGGTTTGACATCCTCTGTAACAGGCGTGTCTGGGCTTGACAGCTGCAGGCCTGGCGGGGAGGGTGGCGGAGCGGCTGCTGCCCTGCCCCGTCCCTCGGTGCCTGCCCCCCTGCCCCTCTCCAGTGGGCAGGCAGTCCTGGCTGGGCGGGGCCTCCCCTTCTAAGACCAGGCCTTGGTCACAATGGGCGTGACATGCTGCTTTTTTTAATTTTATTTTTTTACGAAAAGAACCAGTGTCAATCCACAGACCTTCTGAGCAACCAGGCCGGCCGGGCCGAGCCAGCAGCCCCTCTCCCCGACTCAGAGGTTAGTGGCGAGGGGTGGCCCTGCCAGTCTCAGGACAGGCGGGGCCGGGCCTGTGGAGCCCGGTGGCCCCTCCCACCAAAGGGTTCACCTCACACTTGAATGTACAACCCACCCCACTGTCGGGAAGGCCCTCCTTCCGGCCCCTGCCTCTTGCTGCTGTCCTGCCCCTGAGCCCCTGCAGGGCCCCCTCCCAGACCCCTGCCAAGAGCTAGAATAGGCGGCCCCACGGGCCCCAGAGGGAAGGGGCCTGTCCGCTTGGGGCGGACGCAAGCCTCAAGGACCTGTCGTGGAAGGCGTCCTTTTTCTTTGTAGCCAACATCAGGCCTGTCTGTTTCCCCCTTGGTATCTGTAGACGCTCCAGTCCCTACCGCCATGACGGCATTTTGGTCCCTCCCCAGGGTGGGAAGGGGCCTTGCAGGGACCTCTCCCTCCAAAAAAAAAAAAAAATCTGAAAAAAAAAATTACTCAAAAAAAAAAATAAACAAGGAAATGTATGGTTCAGCACAGGCGATTTTCTTCTACTTGTGTCCCACAAAGGCAGCACAGTGAGGCTGGGGTGGCCCCCAGGCGCCCTTGGCTCCCTTGTCAGGGAGGCAGAAGGCCCGGCAGGTGGCCTGCAGGCAGCAGCCGTGCTGGAAGCTCCTTGCTCAGCTGTCCCTCCCACCTTTATATACATTCTCTGAATCACCTTTGCATAGGAAATAAAAGTGTTTGCTTTGTAAGAAAAGTCTGGGAAGTAGCAGAGTGATCTTGAGGTGTCAAGGGAGACTTCAGTCATCGTCTTAGGGGCAGGACAGGCAGAGGTCCCCACGTTTTGGGCCTGAAAGAGAGAAAGTCCTAAGCTGCCCGTGGCCTCTCACCCTGGGTAGGGGAGGCTGGAAGCCCTGTTAGGCACAGCCCGAAGCAGTTCCTTACCTGCAGGCTCGGGCCTTCCTAGGTTGTCTTGGACCGCAGCAGGGTGGGCGGCAGAAGCGTGTTTGGGGGCAGAGACGTGGCCTGGAGCAGAGGTGCCACATGCTCTGGAGGCAGTGGCTGGAAGAAGTAAAACTGAACCAAGACCGCTGGGGTCAGTGTTGGGGCCACAAGCCACCCCCCTCACCAAGGCCCCGCCAGGGCCACCCAGACCCGCACCTTACAGCCCACGGCAAGGAGGGTGTGGAGCAGCACCACGGCGGAGAGCAGCACCGTGGCCCCCAGCGTGCCGTCCTCCTGGACGACGGGCCAGAAGGTCAACACCAGGCCAGCGGCTGACAGGGCCAGGGCCAGGGCCCCGAAGAGCCACTGCAGCCACGGGATGGGGATGAGCCACAGCACCTGGGGGTGGGTGACGTGGGCAGCTGGCTACTTGTCATCTGCACAGCACCCGGTGCCCACCCAGCGCCCACCTATCCCTGGGCTCACCATGGTGGGGATGAAGACAAAGAGGGAGTAGCCGTAGACGCACACGGTTTCCAGGAAGGTGTAAGGCCCCATGCGCTCTCGAGTGCCCTTGCGCCATCTCAGGAAGCCCCATAGAGCAAGAGGCACCAGCCAGGCATAGCAATAGATGGTGATGCCAGCCACGGTCACTGGGGGCAAAGCAGGCAGTCACCCCTGGGGGCCCCATGGCAGCCCCGGCATGCCAGGGATGGGCCCTGTCCCTGTTGCTTACCCTTGTGGAACTGGGGGCTGTAGTGGATGGAGGGGTCCCTCCTCTGCGCCAGCACCACTGTCAGGTTGCCAGTGATGGCCAAGATGAAGGCCAGTGTGGCACAGATCCAGAAGGGGCCTGCGGGCAGGGCAGGGGCAGGCAGGGTCAGGGACCAGGACTCCCAGGACAGGTGACACATCCCATCTCCACCGTGCTGGGCCCCCTCCACCCCCACCACTCCACTGACCTGTCTTGCCCAGGTCACCCAGCAACAGCCTGGTGGCTGAATCTGGTGCCGGCTCTCAAACCTCCTCTCGACTTTTCAACAGCCGTGGGTGTGCAGCTGATCCCCAGCGTGGAGACCATGTGGGCTCCAGGACCGTGCTGGCTTGTCCCCTTTCTAGCAGTTCTTCCATCACTCTGACTCCCCGCCTCCCGGTCCTCTGCCTCCTGCCCCTCTGTGTTCACCCCCTCGCTCCATCTGTCCGGCGTAAGGGCTTCATGCCATGCTAGACTGATGACTCCCATCATCTCATGTTCGTGCCTCAGCCTGGATGTGCCTACGCGCACCTCTCCAGCTCCACCCACAGCCTCACCCCTTCCCTCAGACCTGCCTCCTCTTCCCATCACATGGGAATCCAGGCAGACACCCAGGAGCATCCTCAGCTCTCCTCTCTGCGGCCAGTGGGTCAGCAAATCCGATCAGCTCCACCTTCAAGACCCACTCCAGTATCCAGCCGCTCCTTCCTCCACCTGGGGCTGGTCCCCATCATCCCACGCCCAGATTGTGGCAGTGCCCTTTCCCGGGTGACCCAGCATCCTCCTTTGCCCCCATGGTGGACAGGCTGACGTGCTTTCCACCGCAGCATGGGAGGCCTGTGCCATCTGTCCTGTCACCTCTGTGACCTCCTGCAGCTCCCTCTGCTCCGGTGACAGTACTGCCCTGCAGTCCAGGCGTGTTCCCACCGCTGGGCTCGTGCCTCTTCTGAAGTGCTCTACCCCTGGGTCTCCCCGCCCTGTCCTGGACGCCAAGGCTCGCCCTTCTCAGAGGGGCCTTCCCTGAAGAGGCCGCACTTGCCCTCTTCCAAGCCCTGTCACCCTCCACAACCTCACAGGTCTCTGTCTTCCTGAACCAGCTATAAGTTTCACGATCTCTGGGGGTTCCACTGCTTTCTTCTCAGCTGTACTCCAGGGACTGGCACTCAGATCACACTGCCGAATGAATAACTGGAGGAGCTGAACACACATTACTCACCATACAGGTCTGGCCGATTCCGCAGATGGTGCCTCACAAAGTTGTGGCCCGGCCTGGGCAGCAATGAGCCTTTGATCCGGTCCAGGACCTGGGGGGCAAGGTAGGCCTGGACTGGAAGCCTGCATGGGACCCTCACCACCACAAGGAAAGGCACCAAGCTCCTCCCCGACTTCCGAGGCTCCTTCCCTGCAGACCTCCCACCTCCTCTGCCTGAAAGGGCTCAGCTCTTCCCTCTGGATGTTTGACGGGCAGTTCCCATGGCCTGGAGCCCCTTCTGCTGGCCAGCCCCCACCCAATCCCCCAGTGTCTCATCACCGAAGGCCTCTTCTGTGTCTGCATCTTCCCCATTACTGACCCCTCCTCTCAGCTTGGCCACCCTGGACTGTCCTTCCTGCTGCCTGGACAGTTGAGTCCCAGGATAGTTGAGTCCTGGGCATTCTCCTTCCCACATTTCCCTCCAATACGGCCGCTGCTCTGCAGCCCTGGTTTATCATCTCCTACCATGTTCTGGGACCTCCAATCCACCCTTCACGCTCTGCACTGCCTATCTGTTAATTCCATTCATTCTTCTCCTGCTCTAAACCCTTCCGTGACTCCACAGGACCCTAGGGTGAAAGCCAAACTCCTTAACATAGCTCATGAGGCCCCTTGTGATCTGGCTTTTGCCTGCCTGTCCTCCACCTCACACTCCAACCAGATTAAATGATGGCTTCTGTGACAGCTCACACCTCTCACCCTTGGTCCCCGCATATGCTGTTCCCTCTGTCTGGAACGTCTGCTTCCCTTCACTCTGCCCCACTAAGGTTTCCTTCTCTTTCAGGCTTCAGATCCTCACCTCCTCCAAGAGGCCTTTCTGTAACCCGCCAGATTACGTGTCCTGTGTTCCCCAGAGCCTCGTGGTACCATACTCCTTGCAGCACACAGGTTACTTCTGCCAACCTGGGTGGGAATGTCTGTTTTCCCACGTGAGTGTCGCCAGCATCCTGCTGGGCCCTGGTACACAGAACTGCTCAGCAAACAGTGGCTGAACCCCAGGCATGACTCTGAGCCCCATCCCACCAACTTCCTGGGCCTGACCTGGGAGGTGTCCACATCAAAGAAGCTCTGATAGTAGTCAAAGGTCCAGAATCCAGGCTGCGGCCTCTCTTCCTGTAGGAGCTACACAGTGAGGGCTTTCAGTGCCTGCCCTTCCAGACTACGTCAGTGGGGGCTGGACAGAGGAAGGGCACAGGGACTTATGTGACTCACCGCGGTCTTGTCACTCTCCTCAACCTCTTCAGCTCCAAAGCTTCCACCTGAATCCACGGCCACAGCCACATGCCCCTGTGGGGTCAGCTGTTCACCTCTGCTGGTGGTGGCCGCATCTGGGGTGTCGACCAGCAGCTTAGTGGCTTCCTCAAACTCTAACGAGAAGGTATATGGGTCACAGGCATGTTCTGGGGTTGGGTGGGGGGTCAAGACAATTCGGTTTGGCCCACAGCTCATCTGGAAGCCAAGACGAAGCGTGGACACCTCCATGCTCTCCCCAGCACGGGTTGCAGCATCCGCAATTTTGGGGATCGGGAAGATGCGCACCCTCACTCCTAACAGGGGGCCGTAATTTAGTGCTGACTCTGGGGTGGCATCACGTCTGGGGTAGAGGCTTTTGATTGAGGTCTGAGTTCAGGGTTGGAAAGGGGTCTGGGTCAGGGTTCACGGCTACTTAAGAGCCCAAATAGACTGAACTAGACCCCGGGTGGGAGGTTCTAAGCAGTGGAGGAAGCAGGAGGTAGGGCGCGGCCGCACTCACCGTGGAAAGCCAGTTCGTCGGCCGCTGCCATGATCGCTCAGGGCTGTCACCGCATCCCGCGCTGAGGACAGAGGCCAGTCAGGCCCGCCCGCAACCCCACTCAGCGACACTCCCGGAATCTATTCCTGATTCCCGAGCCCGGTCGGGCGGCCCTGGACACCTAGTCCCGCGCGAACTCACCGTCCGGACTGCACAGGTGTGCCCCGCCCCTCTCACCAGAGGCTTCCTCAGTCCGCACGGCCCGGGCCCTCCGCGCCTGCGCGGCCGGCCTACCCTCCACAGTCAAGCCCCCACGGAACTGACAGCAACATCCGGCGCCGGTCCTTCTTCTATCGTCTTCCGATGGGAAATCACTTCCGGCAATGTTAGCGCCTGCGCGGAAGAGACTTCTGGGCCTTTTACTTCCCATACCCGGCGTTTCTTGTCGAAGAACGGACGCCGAGCCGGAAGGCAATGGCGGCCTCCGCTCTGAAGAGATTTTGGTTCCGAAACCGTGAAGGAGCCGGTGACGCAGCCCCCGCGAAGGCGGGCGTGTGGGCGCGGTTGGGTGAGTAGCGGCGCGAGGCGGCGACGGGGTAGGTGGCCGCTGCGGCTGGACTGTTCTCACTGCGCCTCTCACATTTCCCGTCAGGCTCCTGGGCCCGCGTGCTGCTCCGCGACTACGCCGAGGCCTGCGTGGACGCGGCAGCGGCGGCGAGAGCCCGTCCCGGGCGGGCGGCCGTGTACGTGGGGCTGCTGGGTGGTGCGGCGGCCTGCTGCGCGTTGGCGCCGAGCGAGGCGGCCTTCGAGGAGGCGCTGCTCGACGCGTCGGGGACCCTGCTGCTGCTGGCGCCGGCCACGCGCAAGCGCGACTCCGAAGCGTTCGTGCAGCGGCTGCTCTGGCTGCGGGGTTGCGGCCGCCTGCGCCACGTCAACCTGGGCCTCTGCTCGCTCGTGTACGAGGCTCCCCACGACGCCCGAGCCAGTCTCTACCAGGCCCGCTGCCGTTACTTGCAGCCCCGCTGGACCGACTTCCCAGACCGGATTTTGGATGTGGGCTTCGCGGCCCGCTGGTGGGTACTGGGAGCGCGGATGCGCGACTGCGACATCAACGACGACGAGTTCCTCCACCTCCCGGCACATTTGCGCGTGGTCGGGCCCCATCAGCTGCGCTCAGAGGCCAACGAGGGACTCTTCGCCGAGAAGTACAAGCCTGTCGTGCTCACCGACGATCAGGTGGACCAGGCGCTGTGGGAGGAGCAGGTCTTGCAGAAGGAGAAGAAGGACAAGCTCGCCCTGAGCCAGGCCACGTCGCTTGTGGAGTCGGAGGGCTTGAGATGAAACCCAGCGAAGCCTGGGTCTGGAAGGGCCTCAGAGCCCCGGCACACTGTTTGCCTGCGATTGTGCCATGGGTGTGAGTGAGCCTCCGATGCAGAGTGATTGATGCAGATTACGTGCAAAGTGTTCTCTCCCCGAGTTTCCATGAAACTGGACGGGGAGGGGGTGTCTTTCTCCCCCTAGTTCAGCGCCTTCTTGGTCTGAGAGTTGGGGAGAACAAAGCAACAAGACCATGGAATGTTCATCACCGCCAGAATTCGTAAGGAGCCTGGCATAAGCCCTTGTCACTGGCCTCACGGTCACTCTGAGGTACCCCTTTTAACAGGTGACTCCCGAGCTCTCCTAAGGCCATTCAGATTCACATTTTAAATTTTGAGCTGCAGTGTTGTTTATCCTCTTTATTTTCATGAGAACATTTGTTTTCGTTTTTACCTTTTTATTTTGAAATAAGTACAGTCTCATTGGAAACTGGAAAAATAAGAGCAGAGACGTCCTGCATGTCCTTCGCGCAGCTTTACCCATGTGGTAATGCTTTGCATAAGCCGCACCAAACCAGGAGATTGACGTTAGCATGATGGCACATTTTACATGGAAAGTTTCTGCAAGAACAACTTGCTTTTACCATGTAAGTATTGGCAGTGCTGTTAGAGTGAGTTGCAAGGATAAGACATTTTCTGACAGGGACTTCTCTGTGAAATACAGATTCTGGTTATGGTATACTTCAGTAACCCTGAGAACACAGAATTCGATGGAAAGGAATATGTTAGTGTTCATAGCTGGTACCTAGGTTCTGATAATCATACTTTTAAAACAAAAAGTTAGAGGAATGAGACTATTTGTCACCTAGGTGGCCTGTGGCTAGTTAATAAAACCAGGAGATGATATAACCATCTGTGATGTTTCTGTTCATGTGTTTTGCCGTTAAGTTTGGTACTTACATCTTCCATTCATACTGTGGGTGTGTGGATACATGGTAACTTTCATATCCTTATTTTTGTGGCAGGGGAGCAGCTTTAAAAGCCTTTTTTTTTTTTTTCCAACCGAAGAAATTAATTTTTTCTAGGTACATAGATGACTTAATTACAGACAAGTTTTGATATATAGGAAGACCCTCCCCATTCTCTTTGCTAAATGAATCATCACAATAATTTTTACAATTTTTAAAATGATACACAGCTTTCTTGGGCTGAAGCAGTTGCAAGACCATATTGGTATTGGTATATTACAGCTACTCACAATGTTTAAGAACAGCAATGGAGAAAAATAAGTTATTTAAATATTGATTTCATATACAGAAAGTGCAGTGTTGCTATTTGTATAACTTGACAATTTCTTGTTTTCTCTCAATTTAAAAATCAATATAGCTTGGATTCAGATAACTTTTTTCCTAGTGCACATGCAGCGCTGACTTGGTGAACTGACCTCTTTTGCTGCAGTTACGAAAGCAAATGTTGCTATGTCTGGAAGTGATTTCCAGTAGGCTAGGAAATTTCCAATTTCACTCGCACCAGGGTTCAGGACAGACAAAAGGGCCACTAGGAGAAGGCCATGAAAATCTAGCTACTTCTTGGTTATCTGGGAAGGTAAAAAGCGTCTGCGTTTTACAAAGGAAATGGTGAGGTACAAAAAGGTAGTTTTCCAAAGCTGTGGTAGAGCCATAATTCCAACTGTTAACTCCCAACCCCAATAAACTCATGTTAACTATCTTTGATCTTAACATCCTGCCAGAAATTACTAAATAGTGCTATTACTAGCCATAAATAAAACTTGAATACAGAAATAAATGAATATTAAAAAGAAATGCAATGAAAACTTCTGATGTCTTTGCTCAAGAGAGTGATTAATCAACTGCAGGGAAAGTTTAAGACACACTGACATCACAGTGACACTGGTCCTCACTGATCATAAGTAGTGAGAGAGGATTTGCATATTTTCATTGCTAGAGTCAGTTACGAAATGCTGCTTCTGACTTTCAACCAGGCTACGTTTCTTGCAGACACCCTTTACCACTCAACAGCTTCAAGTTCAGAGTGGTAGTTGGACACAAACTAAGCAATTCTTAAAGTATTTGTAGGAATTGCAGGGCTTGGTATAGGCCTGAAGTCAGTGCAGCTTTGACTTTAGTCAGAGGGTTGGCCTTTCCCAGGAGTCCTACCAGACGTCTGCTCTTCTCCAGCAGCTCTGGCCTGAGTTTGGTGTAAGGCTCACAGACTGGAGCTGTTAGACTGGACAGGGTACTGGGTGTTGGGGGGGTACACAGACTCCCGAAGGATGGGCTCCCAACCCCCCACAGTGCTCAGAGCAGTATGAGCCCCAGCAAATGTTGAAAGTTAAATGAGATACTGCACATGCCGACTGTGGGTGTGAGCAGGTATGGTCCTTCTGGGGAGGGCGAAGTAGCCCAGGGTCAACCGCACTCTTCAGCCACCACAGGGGAAGGAGTCTAGTCTTAGCCCTGCCAGTACCAGAGACAGCAAATTGGACATAATGTCTCCATTTCATAAGGGCAGTAGGGTCTGGGGAAAAAAAAGTGGGCTTTAAAGTAGACTGAATCTCAGCTTTCATACTAGTTTTGTGATTGACCTGGGCTAGAGCAATAAGGTTCGAGAAAGGAAGAAGGCAACCGGGCCAGAAAGCAAGAAGTAGAATTTATTTGCAGATGACATTGTATACAGAAAACCCTAAAGGACGCTAAAAAACTGTTCGAACTATTTGAGTAAAGTGGCAGGATATAAAAGCGATGTTCTATGTACTAAAAAACTATCAGAGAAATTAAGAAAACAATCCCATTTACAATTGCATCAAAAAGAAAATTCCTAGGAATCAATTTAACCAATTTAACCAGTATACAGGTGAAAGACCTGTATACTGAAAACTATAAAATACTGATGAAATTGAAACAAATGAAAAGATAGCCCATGCTCTTATGGATGGGAAGAATATTGTTAAAATGTCCCTACTACCCAAAACAATCCACAGATACAATGTAATCCCTGTGAAAATTTCAATGGTATTCTTCACAGAAATTGAAAAAAAAATCCTAAAATCTGTATGGAACTACAAAAGACACCAAATAGACTAAGCAGTCTTAAGAAAAACAAAGCTGAATGCATGCTCCCAATTTCAAAGTATATTATAAAGCCATAGTAACCAAAATAGTATGATAATGGCATAAAACCACACAGATCAATGGAACAGAGTAGAGCCCAGAAATAAACCCAAACACACATACACTATACTGTAGTCTATTAAATGGTATATCTAAAAAAAAAATGTAATACCTTAATTAAAAAATTATTCCTTGTTCAAAAATGCTGTGCATCATCTGAGCTTTCCAAGATTCATAGTCACTGCTCACTATAACAAATGTTAAGTTTGAAATACTGTGAGAATTGCCAAAATGTTACTCAGACACGAAGTGAGCAAATGCTTTTGGAAAAATGGTGCTGATAGACTTGCTTGATGCAGGGTTGCCACGAGCCTTCAATTTGTAAAAAATGCAAATCTGTGAAGTGCAATGAAGTGAGGTAAGCCTGTGAATGTGACTTTTAATGCACTGGGAAACCAAAAAAATTCATGTGACCCACCTTATTGCGGTGGTCTGGAACAGACCCCACAATATCTCGGAGGTATGCCTGATGTGGTCAATTAATTTATGACAAAAGGCGCCAAGGATATACAGTAGGGCAAGGACAGTCTGTTCAATAAATGGTGATGGGAAAACTGGACAGCCACATGCAAAAGAATGAAGTTGAACCACTAGTTCACACTATACACAAAAATTAACTCAAGTGGATTAGAGACTTGAATGTAAGACCTGATAAAGCTTCTAGAAGAAAGAGAAAGTGGTAAGCTCTTTGACATTAATCTTTTGGTGATGATTTTTTTTTTGGATATGACACCAAACACTAACATAAACAGTGGAAACA